GATCTTCAGAGGGGACAGAGGGGGGTGGCAGCAGCCGGCACTTACACTGTCGGTTCAGCGCCTTCTGCATGCGCAGCTTCAGCTTCTCCTGCGGTGTCAGCTTGGGCTGCAACCAAACCAGAGCTGCGTGTGAAGGGCGAGGACAAGGACATGCCGGTAGTCACGCTGGCCCCAGCCCGGGGACCCCCCCAGGTCCCCCCCAGGCTCCCCCCCACCCCACAGCAGGGACCAGCGATGAGCGCTGGATCCAGCTGCCGCCCTTCCCGTGGTGAGGGTGGCACCTCTGTGGCATCCCCCGAGCCCCTCGGCGGGACCCTCGCCGCCCCGTGTCGCTGGGGGGGCTTCATTCATGTCTCCGAGCAGCGGAGACCTCGCAGGTCACCCGTGGGTGCCACAGGGACAAACTGGCGTGGGAAGCCTGAGCTGCTCCCCACCAGAGCCCCCGCAGCCCCTGGGAGGTGGCATCTGTGCCAGGGGCACACGGGCAGGGCCCAAAGGCACTTGGGGACCCCCAGGGACAGCCTGAGGTCACAGAGGGGTCCACGGAGCTGGAGAGGACATTGGTGTCCTGCACCCCCTCAACAGCCCCCCTTCGAGAGGGACGAGGGGCTCTGCCAGCCCCCTGCCACCCACCTCCCCCCTCCCAGAGGAGCGTGACGACCCCCCAGACATGGGGACAGCCACGGGTGACAGCCCAGACCTAGCAAAGCAGCACAGGCAGCCCCCAGGGCCATTTGGGGGTCCCTGCTGCCCCCCACCCGCCTGGAGCGGCCAGTGGCCCCGCTCCTGCCCAGCAGCCCCCCAGCTCCAAGGAGGGAGTGGGGCTGGCACCTGACCAAGGAGGGGGACACAACGGGTCACGGGGGGCACCCGGTGCCCACCCCAGCACCTCCGCCAGCCCATCCGCCACCGTGTCCCTGAGCCTGCTCTGCAGTGATGCCAATTAAACAGCTGAGGTTAAATTCTTACTGACTTTGGCAGCTCCTGTCTCTTTACCAGCAGCAGTGTCAGCCCTGAAAGGGGAGAAAGAGCGTGGGGGTCAGTGCTGGGGGGCACGGTGGGAGGGCTGCTGCCCCCCACCCTGCACCCCCAGCTGCCCCCTGCCCTCACTTTTTCAGTTTCTCCCCCACGGCGGGCGATGCCGTGGGCCTCGGCGGTTTCTCTCGCACCGGAGACACCGACTTGCTGCGGCTCCGCGAGTCGCTGGGGCTTCGGCTGCTCCGGCTGCTGCTCCAGTGTCGGCTGGACCTGCCGCCTCGCCGGTAGCGCTCCCCGGACCTGGAACGGCTCCTGCCGATGGGGAGACAGGGGGGGGGAGCGTTGGGGGGCACCCAAAAGGCTGAGCAGGGCCTCCTGCACCCCAGCAGCAAGCACTGGGGGAGCCCCTGGGGTGACGCACCCACGAGCAGGGTGAGAAATGGGACATTTGCCCCTTTATCTAATGCTGCCGAGACCCTTTTTTGGATACAGGAACCACTGTACTGGGCACTGGTGAGGCCTCACCTTGAGTACTGTGTCCAGTTTTGGGCCCCCTACCATAAAAAAGACATTGAGCTGCTGGAGCGGGTCCAGAGAAGGGCGACGAAGCTGGTGAGGGGTCTGGAGAATAAGTCTTATGAGGAGAAGCTGAGGGGGCTGGGCTTTTTTAGTCTGAAGAATAGGAGGCTGAGGGGAGACTTTATCGTGCTCTATAACTACCTGAAGGAGGGGTGTAGAGAAGCAGGTGTCAGTCTCGTCTCCCAAGTCACAGGAGATAGGACAAGGGGAAATGGCCTCAAGTTGTGCCAGGGGAGGTTTAGATTGGATATTAGGAAACATTTCT